GAGTATTGTCACCTGCCCTGAAATGGGTAAACAAAACATTCAAGCTAAAGGTCTTTCGAGGGGGAGTTAGTGATCGCAAAACCGTCAGATAGCGGAAAAAAAAATGAGTAGTAACCCAGTATCCAATGGATGTAGCTCTCAAATATAATTGTATCGCTATCGCTTCGCACAGCCAAGTCCAACAAATCGACAACCTTGTTCACAGGGTTCTCTCTCAGGCTCTTCCTTCCTCGAGAAGGCCTCTCGCAAATATTTTAAAGCCTATATTATCCAGAGGCAACGTGTCGTTTCCGCCATTTCTTAAATTCTTGTTCAAGGACTGTATGCTTAAGGAAGTATGGGGCTGTTCTTAAAGCTTCCATTATAGTTTGTAAATTTTGTAATTACATATCGCGGCCACTTGGTCCCACTAAGAAATCGTCATATAATATTCGAACCTTAGATCAACATAAATAAACAAACACTGTTTATAAACGAATGAACCAATAAACGAGCAAATAAAAAACAGATAACTCTTACCAGATTTGCCTTTCGTTGCTTCTGCTCTGGAAGCGCCTCGTTCACCAAATGGATGGGATCGGATAGTTTAGCGTGGAAATCATCTCCGCGTGGTCGTCCGATCACACTGTATCGCACAGAGGATAATCCTTCTCCTTTCACTTCCAAGACGTTATCTCTGAAGTTCGAATGTCTCTCTCCACTACACTGAAGCTTGCCAAGATCTTTCATAAATTTCATCAAGCTGGGGTGGAATGGATCCAAATTCGGCAGACGACAAGCAGAACTAGAGTTTCCAACGTGTTTCACAAATTTCACTCGAGTCTTCGGAAACGTGGATTGAGAGGAACCGAAAAAAAAGCCATAGGCCTCAAAATATAATACAAACACAATTCCACTGGAAACGATGAGTAATATAGAAGCGAAGCGACGACGACGTAATTGCACTCGACGAAAAAGCATTTTAACAAAACAACACGCCTCAGACATCATGTTTAGGTTTTGATTCTTCTCTTTATCGACTCCTGATAATGGTATTTGTTTCAAATTGTGATATGCGTCTCCCGAAGTGAACACGGTATTCGCTTACATGATATGCCAAAGAGTTTAGATATGGCCCTCGCGCTTTAACACGTGACGGGGTCAGTTGCACGTCTGTTTGTTGGTTGCGATAACCGCAGTAAGGATATGTTAATTCAGTTGATGCGTGTAGCATAGTTTTCCCTTTTAATTGGACGAAAGAAAAAATCGTTGAGGAAACAGTTGCTCAATTTCTCGCGCAAAGAAGAAAAAAAAACCGTTTCAATCACAAATCTGTAAAAATTTAAGTTCAGTCATTTTAGAAAGAAACTTGTTGCTGTTGATGACTCGCGAAATCTCCTTTACAACATTAGGCGACATGAGACGAACAATAAACGCCTTTGTTTTCATGAGACAAAAGAAGGCAAAATATTGGTAAATGAAGGGGGTAAGTTCTAAAGAACCTGTGGTGCTGCTTCGGTGAGAGAGTATAACAGGTGATTTAGTGTTAACAACTGAGTTGAAAACGTAAATTGACCACCGTAAAGAGTTTAAAGGCTGACGTTTTGAGCGTTAGTCCTTCGTCAGAGCGAATCGCTCTGACGAACGAGCGTTAGTCCTTCATCAGAGCGATTCGCCCTGACGAAGGACTAACGCTCAAAACGTCGGCCTTTAAACTCTTTACAGTGGTCAATTTACGTTTTCAACTCAGTTTTTAACACTAAATTACCAAAATACAGGTACTATTTCCTAGAGTCAGCCGTGGTAATCCGAGCGAGAAGCGGGAAATGATTATTTCGCGAATCTCATTATGTGTGTGTGTTTTTTTTTCCGCTCAAGTGACCAACAGTTCTAATTACACATACAAATGGTGTTTGTTCGTTGGTATCTTGATATACAAAGAGGTAAAAAAAAAAATTTCTCAATCAAACAGCTGTCAACACACGACTCTCGATATATTTGCTCGGTTAGCATAGCTGTCACCCATTTTTTTTTTTTTTTTTCACCGAATACGGAAAATTGAGAATCGTTAAAACTTTTTAGTTAACTGTCATACTTTCATACCCCGCCCCGCCTCAAATGTTTAAAGACTTGGAAACGAGGCGAACGTCAGGACAAACAAGACTCAACAGGGGAGATGATGGTAAAAAAAAGAAAAAAAATATGATCGTGAGGGGTCCGCTGAAAGGAACACCAAATAATTTTCTGAATGTTAATGGCGGGAAATAACTCAGTCATTGTTGTGTAAAGCACGCCGTTCACTTAACGCATTAGCGGGATTTTACGGTGTCAGCTAGGCATCTAGGGGCTAAAAAGCACTTTGAAAATCCGGGTTTCGCCATAGCTTTGTAAACAGCGAGGGATGGCGTCGCAGTTTTCGTTTTCGGAGGAAGGTTTGACTGTCAATAGCGGCCGGGAACACATTTTCGCTGGTAACTGTTTGAAAAGGAAACTCGAAGCAAACGGTTGTAATGGATTTTCTTCAGTGGGAGACCATGAGTCAGTTGAGCAGGAATATAATCTCAACAGTGAGGTGAGACAATTTAAAAAAAAACTGGAGCAGTAAGATAACTCTGGTTAAAAAACATTTACCAGCTGAGTGCAATAAATTGATCCAATACTGCGATCAGGATGTTCGTGATCTCCAGAGTTAACCGTTATTACTAATCCAACATGCAGAGGATAGAAATGATTGTTCACAGAAAGCGTACAGCAGTTTGCCTTTCTTTGAATGGTATGCTTATCCTATTTTCGATTTAATTTTTCTTGTAGAAAAGACAGCGGTTTTCAGCCGACAGCAACGGCCATACGGAGTGTCTCGCGAGCGTCAACAATGACGAAAATAGTAATTGCCAGAGTTTTACTCACAATAGGAACATCATGGGAAATGATTCTCTGCTTCAAAATAACGTAGAGTGTGACGCATCGATCGGATGGGAAGAAGTTAAAATGGACTGTGTAAACGAAACAGTTGCTCAAAATCGATCTGCTTGCTGGGAAGAACATGTCACTTCCGCCTGCCCGCCAAATTTGAACAACAACGTTGCTGTTGGAGATGTTTCCGTTGAAATAAGTGGCCGAGAGAGTTCCCCAACGAAAGGATCACCGGCAAGGGAATTTCTACAGACGTTAGTATTATTTTTTTTTTCGGTACACTTGTTTGTCTATAGCTTTATACTGAATTTGTTTGCACCGGTTTAAATTTCATACCAGCTCTTACCTTTCAATTTCATGAAGGTGTCAACCCTCACAACATCACCCCAGTTCACACATATAGGTCATGAGAATGAAGGAAATAATCACCAACTAAACAAGCCTTCGATTGTTACACATTTTCTCCCTGTCAGCACCTTAGGAAATGCATAGGCAACCATATGGAGCATATACATACTGATGTGAGGGTGTTAGGTAATGAGTGACAATTACTCACTGATGTTGATTATGATCACTGAGTACTTTTCTGTAGGATGTTAGTTAGCTTGCTCAATTTTGTCTTTGAAAACAAGCAAAAAGTATTACATTCTGCTGTATGTGTTTCCTCCAAACTGCTTGAGTGCCTTTGTGGTATAGGAATCTTGCATAAAAATCTGGAAAGATTTGCTTTTTTTCTACAAGAATAATTTAACAACTGGTTCATAAGTCAGCATGTGTTACATGTTCATAGAGATATGAAGCATGTGGGAAGTTTGGAGAGCACAAAAGATGATTAAAAGTTGCTCAAGGCTCAATCAACTCTAGCTTCTTGAGTGCTCTCCAAACTTCCCAAGTGCTTCATATCTCGATGAATGCACAGCTGATGTATGAACCAATTGTTTTATAACATTTTCAACCTGATGGAAACTTTTTTTCTTGAGGGATTTGTTTGCTGACGTCATGAACATGCATAATAGGAATATGAAGCACACTTGTGCAATTGAATTTGATTAGACAAATTTACTAGCTATGTTACAAAACTTCTTAAACCAAAACTTTCAAGAGTTATTAGGAGTCTGTACTATTGAAAGCAGAGGGAAAAAGATGAAGTTAGCATAAGCTTGGAGTCAGCAAAGGTGGTAGCTATAAGGAAGCTTTCATTTCTTAGCAAAATTTTGAAAATTATTCAAGATATCCCAAGGGTAACATGTTCAAAATGTATTTTGTTGTTGTTTTCAAGCCATGAATACATTGTTCTCATGTTAGACTTAGGGTATTCATTGTATTCTTGACAACCTATTTACAGTGCTTTCCATTCATTCATTCCTTCATTCAATTGTGTGTTTAAATATATCCAGACACAGGCCAGAGCACCTAATGTATTGCATCCCATCCTACTGTCACCCAGGGGGATTATGGGATGTTATGCTGGAGGTATATCACGGGCTGTAAATCTAAATAGATTTCTACAGCCATTTTGATTGGAAAATTGTAAGGTAAGGGAAACTTTTACTGATAAATGACTTATACAATACAGAGATCTTGTTTTCAGATTGTGTAATGTTACAAAGTGTACCTGCTGATCTATGGCAAAATTCAATGTGAAAGACAATATCACGGCCCTAAAACAACAATTTTTTTTCATTGATAGTACAAACCTTGTTCTACTTAAGACAAACAAGGGAGTTTTTTGCAGCTAAAATGCCCTTGCCTCATTTTTGCATTTTCAAGCAGTAGTTTTGGCATCTCACAAATCTTGCATTGTATCCTGTGCCATCCCTGAAGTAAAGGCTCTGCCCCCTTTGGCAATCTGAATGGCTAGTTAGCTAGTTGTATGTGCAATTACACATTACATTTACCCTTTTATGCTCTCAGTATTGTTTAATGATATCACTCTTAGAAAAGCATCAGATAATTATAACTGTTAAAACATGGCAGTATACCAACATTCATGTTTAGACAAAAACTTACATGTGCTGAATGCTCCTTCTTTGCAGATGATACATGGACGCAACATAGAAGAGAAAAACAAATCATACATTAAAAATTTTATAAACTTAAAGCTTTGCATGTCATATACATTTAAATTACTATTGTGGCAGGTACTATGTCATATTAAAAGCTTATGTGTTTTAACAGAAAAATTACATAAATACTGATTTTATGAAAAAGTTAACTTTCCTTAAAGCTTTGGATATCATATACATTTAAATTACTACTGTGGCAGGCACTATGTCGTATTTAAAACTTTGGAGGTTATTGTGCAATGTGTTTTAACACAAAAATTATATAAATACTGATTTTTTTTTAAAAAAGTGAATGTTTCCATTATTTTAAATACTTTTGATAATTGTTCTGTAAAACTTTTCACTCTAAGAAGTGGCAAAAAGAGATCTTCTAGAAAATCTGACAACATTTTTAGCAGAAGTGTAAAGAGATCAGAGAAGAATATCAAGGAATGTCCAGGCTTGTGGCATGGGAGGCATCTGGATTTGGTACACAGGCATTCACAGAGGTAGTGCTCAAACAGCCTTGTCTTCCCAAGCTTGTCTGAAGTACTCTCAAAATTTTGAAATTCTTGGCATACAGGCATACACAGAGGTAGTGCTCAAACAGCCTTATCTTCCCAAGGTGGTCTGGAGTTGTCTCAAAATTTTGAAATTCTTCAGTTACAGAGTGCAATTTCCTGTATTTTGGAGCAGAAACTAATATGATTCATTTCCACTAAAATATCATTTCTGTAGATAATTGATCATGATTTGACGCATTAATCAACAAACAAATCAGTTTTCTAATGCAAATACATAATCTTTTACCTATCCAGTCAAGTTCAAATATATTTTATGTTTGAGAAAACACCTGAGGAAGATAAGGGATTATAACATACATTAGTGTAGCAAAGTTTTCTTCACAGCCAGTTAGTTTGTTTGGTGCCTGGCCCTGAGTGAAATTCTTGAATATGAATCAACACATAATCTTTGACTTAATCCTTTAACTCCCATAAGTGATCAAGACAGAATTTCTCCTTACAATATTGATACAATATCAAGCAGACAAGTGATGAGAATGATGAAAAATATCAATCAGGAGATCAGTATGTGATTCAATACCAAATTCTCTAGAATTAGGAGGTGAGATTTTGGGAGCAAAAGGGTTGAGACACTTCTCTGAGCTAAAATTATCTAAAATGTGAGGTAGACAGTATGGAGAATATGAGGTATATATCTTGGCAGTGAAAGGGTAAAAAAGAACTAATTGTTTTACTTAAATGTCAAGTATTACCCCACAAAATTAGGGGTTTTTACTCAGTAACAGAAAATGAAAACAAACCACTGCTATGTATCACATTTGCTCAAAATTTATTATAAGTGGCACAAAGACTGAGGCTCTGAACCAAAGCACAGAATGATGGAGTATTTGTTCTTGATTATTCTATGGTGCAGTTTATGTTCTTGCCATTTTGTAGTCACTTGGGCACTGACATTGTACATGTATATAGCTTATGTTAGAAAACATAGGTTCTCTTATTTGTAATGTGTTCATTTGTTTAGAAACTGTAAGAAAGAAAACTGCAACAACAACTGTTCAAGGCCATACTGTGCAATTTCAGAAAAAAGGCTTTACTTGTATTCATTATTCATTTTATTTTTTGTACCAGTACTCTTTTTTTCACATGTTGCAAAACTTTTGCATTTTACAGTTTTATTCTGTATTAGCTGTAAAATATCCCAAAAGTTTAAAATGTACAGCTAAACAATGTTACAGTAGCTAAATGTATCTTACATACACACTGCAAAACTACAAACTCTGAAATTTGCCTTAACCAGTTCTTTTGGTATATTTTTTTGGTGAAGTTTTGTTTTTCATTCACAAATTCTTATTTTGTTACTGTTTTTAAAAAGTTTTGAAATATATTTTGGATCTATTAAGTTAACATGCATTGTTTACCACTTCTCCCATGGTGAAAGCTCTTTGGTGGTTGTAATTTCTATATCATTTTCTTTTCTTTTAATTATTTTTTTATCATACAGACATTATACAGTGTAAAATATTTGCCTTTGCTCATTTTTTGACCCCTCTGTACATTTCAAAAGTGTTGATTAAGATTCCCAAGCAAATGTATAGTGTAAATTAAGAATCAATATATATTATGACTTGTAATATATTACAGTCTGTGACATCACAGAGTGAACTGTTTGCCTGGTAGCTTCTATCTAAGAACAAATATATTTATATTCAGCATGTAAAATACTATACACTTAATGTATGGTCCCAAAGAAAACTGTTAGTTTTGTTTTCCTAAGAGTCCTGGTGTTTCCTGAGACAAAGTCGAGGGAAAACAAAACTAACTAGTTTCCTGAGGGACCTTACATGAAGTGCATTGTTATATATTTAGACTTTCCTTAAACAGTCATGTGCTGTTGTATTCGGTGCACGGGCAACAAGTGCGCAATTGTATTCCAGTCGGGATGTTTGAATGTGATCAGTGGCACGTTACCTAGAATCAACCAATCTCAGTGCTCGTTTTGTTGAGTGAAAGTCCTGGTATATAACAAATATATTTATTTCTTCTACCTTCTGCAATTTTTTTTATCCACCTGCATGCTATTCGTCAAGCAATGTAAAGTGGATGTGGCATGTTCAAAGGGCACGACAAGAATGAAACAGCTGTTGATGTATATTTTTAAGTAGCCAATGCTAAAGAAGTCCATTGGTGGTGAGATTGAAACAATGGAGGAAGAAGCACTGTGATGAATTTTCTCTTGAAACTAGTTGATTCCGTTAAACTTGATTCTAAAAAAGAAAAGAAAAGTAATCAATGGTTTTTGTACCTCCCTTCCCCCCCCCCAGCCCCCTTTAGAATTCAAGAGGTCCTCTATGGTGATCCACTTACATATGTGACCCATTCAAGCATCGGCTTGAGTTTAGGGCAAAGGGACTACTCACCATACCCTCCAGAACTCACTTACCCTACCCTGTGGGTGCCCTCTCACCCCCATGGATTGTGGGTAGTTATTGGTCAAAGTATTTCAAGATGGCGGACGTGAATGCGGTGAATCGGCGTCTTTTGGAGATTTCTATATGTGCTCTGCTGCGAGAACAAGGATTTTCATCAGCTTCTAAGATAGCTTTAGAGACCCTTACTGAAATGCTTCAAAGCTGTGAGTGATCAACCATTCCATTTTTTTGTTTTGATTTGGTTACAAGTTTCTGAATCGAACACTGCTTTGAAAGAGATCCTCCTCATAAGAGGTCTTGGGTTTGTCCTTTGAGGTGTTTTTCAGAGGAAACGTAGAAATTTTGCCGATATACTATTCTGGGTTTTTTAAATATCGCCTTCCATTTCGATCAATTGATCCTTCGATTGATCGATCCGTGGAGACATTCGAAGAAAGTTAGAAAACGCATCTCCTGTGATAATGTTTTGCGTCTGATCGCCCTGATCACAACTGTATTTGTTTTGCGTTACACTCTACTTTAGACCTGGGTGAGCTTGGACACAGTTGCAAGCTGAGCTGCGAACTTTCCGCCCGAGTTAAGCCGACTCTAAGTGACGTAAAAGTGGCTCTGATTGATATGGGTATGTATTACAGCTACCATTCCCCAAAATGCCGGGGACTTGACATTGTCCCGAGATCAGAGATAAGTGTTCCAATTCTAGCAACTGAAAGTACACGTAGTTTGTTGGAATCACAAAGATCCATCTATTTTTCAATTGAGGAGTTGTAAGGAATAAAGCTTTCACAAGCAGTACCCGGCAGACTATCTTAACTCTTTACACCCAACAGTATCACCCTTGAATCAAGCAGTAAGGTCATAAGACTAATGGGAAAGCTTGCATACTCAAGAAGTTCTTGATTGTTAGACAAACTCTCCTTGTAAGTAACTTAGGAAATGTACAGAGCACAGTATGGAGAACTTGCATGCTGATGTCAGGGTGTAAAGGGTTAAATCACGTTGAGCATTTTCCCCTGTCAGTTTTCAATTACCTATAGGCTCTAATTTTAAACTTTTTTGTCAACCTTTACTGAGACCAGTATAAGCTTGCTGACATTGTTTGAGTAGAATCCCTTGTCTGAAAGCAGGATATTACTTGAAGGAGCAGATCAAATGAGAGGAAAGCTGAAGCTTACCAAAAACCTTTCAAAGATTTCAAACATTCTCAGGAGGGTTTCAACAAAGGTTGCCTTCATTTACTAAATTGCAGTTTTTGGGATGAAACCTAGGTTCATTTAGTCCAATAGCACTAATTGCAAATAAATATAACTGTGACATGAATGAAAACTAAAGCAAGTTGTGGTAGATTTGTTGTCCATGGGATTTGTGTGTCTACAGTTTTTCCTATGATCTCTGTGTAGCATGTACACAAAGCTGTGCTTGTCAACAAATCACTGGATGCCTGAGGGCTCTTGACTCAGAGGTGCAGGATGCATAGTTTTCATTTAGGGAAAGCTAGGCAATTTCTCAAATATATAAGTTAGTTGCCCTTGGCACAGTCCTGTGTCATCCAAAGTTATGTAATTTCACACATGCTACAGGCTGGAGATGACGGATTATGTACACTCTGCTGGTTATTGTGCACATACATGTACATGTATGGATATTATATCTTGATTTACTATAATTTTCTTTCATATAGGTGCAGACCTTGATTCTTTACCACTATATGGAAAACGGACCAATCGAACTCATGTAAACAACCGTAAGTTGAGTGCATTAGTTCTAAAATATTGTTTTGTTTATTATGCATTATACAGTTACAGGTATCTCACTAGTATCTCAGCATGTGAATTAATCTTTCCCTAGGTCATATATGAATTATAAAAGCACAAGTCTTTTCCTTCTCTTGATAAATATAGTGAAGATCTCTTATTGACAGTATTGAACAGCAATGAGAATATTTTTGCTTTCTTTATTTTCTCTGCACATATATTTTTAGCTCTGAAGTCTCGCATAACACCAACACCCAAAGCTTTAGCAGCAGGCACTAAACAGACACGGCCAGCTCATATTCCTGCACATCTTCCACCACTTCCAGATCCTCATTCCTACATCAAGACACCAGTAAGTTTTAATTTCAGTTAAGGAAGTGTGAGATAAGGTTTATCTGATAAGTGTGGGGTAAATCACAGAATTGTCATTAGAGGCTGGTAGGCAGCAGAAACCGAATGGTTGATTGACTATTTTGCAACAGCTACTATGTGAATTGTAATAAAAAAGACAAAAGACAAAAGATAACTATTTTTGAGCTGATTCTAACTGCTACTCCTGAAAATAACGTCTCAGAGAGTTTTAAACTTCAAATTTTTCTGAGGAGCATGCCCTGACTTCCCCAGAGAAGTGTGTTGTAAAGCTGACATAAAAAATAATTAAATAAACACAAAAGCTGTGTAACATGTGCCATTCTTTAAGTTAAAACTAGTCTTCCTCAAGAAAACAACATGAAGACCCTGAGTGGATAGCCTTTCTTATTTATATCAGTTCTGTAAATGACACTTCAGCTGATGTAGGATGTGTGTTGCTGACTTGCAGGCCTTCAGACAGTCGAGCAAAGAATATCAAGCAGTACGAGAGAAATATGCTGCACAGAGAAAAGATATTGAAGAAGGGTTATCTAAGTAAGTTAGAAATGACTATTTCTTTTTCCTTTCATTTGACACTCTGCTATAAGCTCCTCTCCCTTTTTTCGCTCTACAGGTTTTTGGCAAAGACAGCAGAACTTAGCTCTGGGATTTGTGAAGGATTGGACCCACCAACATATCCTTGTGAGTTCCATGGAGTTTTGCATTTTTTTTTTTTTTGTTACATGCCATGATAAGCTGAATTCTGCACACAGTTTGATTAGTTCTTACTTCTGATGCATGATAATGTCACCATTAACAACATTTTGCTTTGTTATGGTATAAAACAAACAGATTCTCTGTTCTTTGGGTCTGTTCAGTAATAGATTACACAAGAGGTCAAGATGTGGTAAGAACATCAGTGACACACTTGGCTTCACCTGGAGTGCCAATTTTTTGTTCTTCTTACTGCATGTTGACATCATCTGTTATCTATTAGTCAATAGAAGCTTGACAACAAGGGATCTATTTGTTAATCATCTCACCCACTTTTGAGTTTCTCTTCATGGATACTCACATAGTTTCATCCCTGCTTCAGGTCACCTTGACAAAATCCACTTTTTTAAAGTTCCCCCCTGTTGATATCACTACTGAATCTATTTAATTTCTGTGTTTTTCCTCTTTGATTGTAAAAGAAAAAATGTTTCAGGGGTGAAATCATGGTAAAAGACTAAATGAGTGGGTAATCAATGGATAATCACTGACATCAGTGAGTAAACTTATGGATGAATTAGAAATCTAGTATGCACCAGATGGTTCGATTTTGTTTTCGATAACTCAATGTTGTTTACTCATTAAACAGTGGAAATGCTCAAAAAGTAATATTTTGATTACTTATCAATATTTACTCTATTTCGTTTCATCTCAAAACTTTGCGCCATATCCAAATAAACGCAGCTGCACTACTTTTGAAATCAAGTCTATAAGTGCAAACAGTCATGTTATGCTCAATAGCTACTGTAGCTCACGCTTTTCTCAGTAAACTCGTTTCTTCTCATCAGTTCTGTGGAGCACGTCATCTACTATGCTCAAATTACATACCAAGTCAATATATATAAAGTTAAGTGTTAAAAACTTCAACTTATTTACTCCTTGTCTTCATGCCCCGACCTATTTTGATGATCCTTAGCCAGTGAGAATTGTGAGTTATTGATGTTTGTATTGAAAACGCGGAGGAATCGCGCACGCGCAGCAAATTACGCAAGTGGTCGCGTAAGTTTCTTTTGGTGACGACATAAGCGAAATCATGTCGTCACAAACGAACTATCAACGTAAAATATCAATTAGATTCGATTGTTTCTGTAAATGTGTTATTTCTCTCTCGGTTGTAAATACACCTATGATGTACGCTCATGTTCAGAGTGAGATAAAGGAGTTCAACCGTCGTCACTCCGAGAGCAAGGGAGGTAAACTGCACACGGATCCTTCGTTTACACAATCAGCAACCATCTCAGGTGAAGGCTTCGAAGCAAGAGTACGGTGTTCAAAGCGAATACCACAAAAAGAAAAAAACCGCCAACTCAAAAAAATTGTGCAAATAACGAACGACATAATGAATGACATGAGGGTTTTAAGGGAACAAATGAGCAAGGTTTTTGAGGAACAAATGAGCACATTGAGTGTAAAACAGAGGAGCTTATGTATGAATACAAGAGAGCTGTCGTCCATGGCGCCTCCACCAGTTGAAGAACTTGTGATGAGAAATTATAGTGTTAGTGCTGCTGGGGAAACTGCATCAAGATCGACTGAAGTTCTTCATGAGGGGAATTCTGGAAAAATTATCAACAGTTCCCTTGCTGATGATGGTAGCAGGTGGTACTACTTTGGGAATTTAGCTTCAGCTGCCAAAGATGCGATGATGGGACCAAGTTCTAGGGAATTCGCACCCGCAGATAGAACCGAAGATCGTAACTTGCCTTGCTTTGTAAACCAGGCGATAAACGCGCTAGTTCACGCGGTGCAGAATATTAACGAGTATTTCCGCCGCGAGTGGAACCTCTTCAATGATATTTTTAAACAGGAAGCTTTTGAAGTGTCACATGTAGAGCCCGCTGTGATTGCTTGTATCAAAGGGGAAGACACTTGCACAGATCATTACTTATCTAGTAGTCATTTGGGCTATTTAAATGAAGATCTAACTCGTTGTGATGACAAGAAAATTGTCTCTTGTCATTCTTCAAGCTTAACCTATATTAAATGATTAAAAAATTATTTCATTACTTTTGTCAAAATCGATTCATGAGGATCATGTTTTCTCGTTCTCAATTTGGCCCTAATGACAATGTTATTGGTAAAAAAGTAAAAGTGCTGTATGATATACCGTTAATAATTTTATATTTAGCAGTTTACACATGTAACACTTCCCCAGTCACCTCAGTTAAATTGGACGCGTCACTCAACATTCAGCGACAGTGGTAACAAACCTATTGCTACAGTCATGTAACCTGCCAAATGCTCTCTTTTATCCCTGATGCATTTAATTCATATCTATTCATCCCCCCTTTTTGTTCTTAAACTTTTCCTCGTCCCTTCCGGTTCCACCACGTTTGTTCATTAGATTGCGTTCTACTGTGAACCGCTGGGTGAACATCCATGTTTCGTTTCTACGCATGGTAAGGGCTGTATCTTTGCAATGCTACAGTGTTAACAGAAACGTTTCTGTCCGTAAGCGAGAACCTTTCATGCAAAACTAACGCACTCAACAGCTGTCGGTATGCAGTCGCCTATTACTGAAAGATGAAGGCTGCATACAAGATTGACTCGCATAGCAATGCTAGAACATTGCTGTATATACCTCTACTACTTATGCGGAATGGAATGCAGATTTATCAGTGGTAGTCTCCCTCGGGTTCTCGCAGCATTTCGTCGATACCCATTTAAACTCGTGGGTGTTAAAAAGCACTGTGAACATGAGGGAAAATGTCTTGTGGAAGATTACAACACAAAACTCTTCTTTTGGGCTTGAACCTAAAGCCTGTTTCTCGAAAGTTCCGGTAGTGACTGGTTCAGAAAAATATCTTTATGTTGTTGTTGTTGTTGTTTTGGTTTATTTCCGCGTTCACATTCTCTATCAGGATATTAGTAATTTAAGATTTAGGGAAATTAAAATATCAGAAATTACCGCAGAATATAATGGTTGTTGAGCTGGTATCGACCCTTCTGCTCCTTATATGTAATAGACTTTAAAATATGGCGTCGAGCCGGCAGAGTTAGAGTGAATTTCGACCAACAGGTTCACAACATTTCTAACTCTCCACTCTCCGGAAAGCTACCTCGACTTTTTATGTATCACCACTTACACGTACCTTTGTTTTACTTTCTTTCAGTGCTTGTGAACGAGTTCAGTGGTCTGCCTTATTTATCTGCGCTTGGAGACTTCGACGACGCCGAGCTGCTTGAACTTGATGAATCCCTTGCTAAAGAAGCACCTTCAAGTAGTGTTTTACCAACAAGCTCACAGAACACGGAATCCTTCGATAACCCTTACCTCAGACCAGCCAAGAGAGCGCGAAAAACTATTAAGCCAAGCTGAAGTGATGCAGGCTTTGATCAATTCTCGCTGGTGTCAACTTCACGTTTTGAAAAGAATTGTCAGAAACGGAATTTAAATTTTTCTTTATTCTCGTTCTTGTTTGGAAAATATCCGTAGAAGCCTCCAAAGATTTGACCCTTTTCTGGAAAATGATTTGAAATTTGTTACTTTTTATAGCCCAGAACTTTCATCACAGAAGAGAAATATTACATCTTTTTAATCGCCCATTTGTTGTTACTTGTGTGACTTAAACTTGCCCCCCCCCCCCCGCCTCACTCCCAGGTCGAGAGGGAATTATCAGTCCCAGTTTGAATATCCACAGCGCTTTTCACCCTGTAACCCCTAAGAGTAACTAGCATCTAATTTCTCCTTACAATATCACCCCTGAATCCTACATTAAGGTCACGAGAATAAAGGAATGATCACCAACTAAAAAAGCTCTCGATTGTCAAAGAAATTCTCCTTGTCAGCGCCTTAGGAAATTTACAGAGAACATTACGGAGAATGTGCATACTGATCTTGAGTTTTAAAGGGTTGAGAATGTCACTTTGACCTCATAGGTGTCCCTTCCATACTGCCAGATTTGTCATAACATTAACGATAATACATATCTTTAAATTTCTTACCTGCACCGATGTTCTGATGATGACAATGAGGGACAAAGGCAGACATTTTGCAGACCTCCTCGTAAAACTTCCGAAAATATGTATGGGAATGAGCCCCGGGAGCTTTTCGAACAGCTGAAAATGATGAATTCCCTAACCCTTCCATTAGAGCAGCAAACCACGAAGTTTCAATAGCGTATAACCTTTTTTGGTAAATCTCAAAACAGAATGATAAATGAACAGAACACTCGTACTTGAATAACCTCTGTGATAGAAAAGTCTCCAGTTTTCTTTTTTCCTACTTTTGTTTCTTTTTACTGATTTCCATGAACGTTTCATGCTTCTTTCGCCTATTTTGCGAGACAACGGTTTTTCTCATATTTTCCTTTGAAAATTTGCGCGGGAAATTGACGCGCGGCCGGCCAGAAATGAACACCTCGCGCATGCCTGACGTATGACCGCTGTGAAAACGGCGGAAATGCGAGGCTTCTTCTCAACAACAATGGTTCTTTCGAAACAAGCACGACCTACTTGAACTTATATAATGATAATTAATAATGATAATAAGAATTATAGTATAATAATAGGATAGTATGGGGATAATAATAATAATATAAATATGGCGCGATTTCCAGTGATGTCCAATCGCGCTTTACAATGTATAGTACATAAATTCGATTAAAATGTAAAACATCGAGGAAAAATGACATTTACAAGCTTAGGGAAAACTGCTAATAGGTAAAATAAGTATCGGAAAATGATATAATATTATGATTTTAATGCTAAAACTAAAAAAATTGACTACTAAGATAAGTGTTGCCTTAACTCAGCTAGTCTCATCAATTGTGGTAATCGGTCTCTCAATAAGTTAGCCATAGTGAATCAGTGAAATCTGATTACAAACAAATTAAAAAATGTTAGAATTTCACATACCAATACTAAATAAATGGAGAACGCTCATCTGTCTGTCTTTCGGTCTGATTAGCTGACTGACTGACTGACTGACGAGCTGATAGACTGACTGACAGACTGACTGACCGACAGACTGACTGACTGACTGACTGACTAACGGGCTGACTGAGTGGTTGACTAGCTGACTGATTCTTCGCTCGACTTTCCTCTGGTTCTCCAGCTCGCCCGTCTGTCCATCCATCCACGGATTCATCCAATTTGTTTTCGTCCGTCGGTACCATCCTTTTTCCGTTTGTTTGTTTCGTCAGTTTGCCTGTTTCTTCGTTCACGCAGTTCTTCGTCCATCTGGTCCTTCGATCGCTCATTTTTTGTTTGTTTGTTTTCTTTGTTTGTTTTCTTTGTTTGTTTTCTTTGTTTGTTCGTTGATTCGTTCGTTTCCATTCGTTCAGTCGACCGGTTGCTCGTTATTTCATTTATTCTTCGTTCTTTCATTCGTTCGTTTGTTTGTTCGCCCAGTTTGTTCTTTCGTCCATTTATAAATTCATTCTTCCAACACTGGGAAACTGTACATGTTGATCAAATGGTTGACGGTGATGTTAAAGAACACGCACACGAAAAACAAAGAAAAAAAGCTAGGTAAGGGGTTTGAAAAATACCTTTGATTGAATAAGTTTGAAACAGAGGCATCACTCCTAGTACACTCAAAACCATTTATGGGTCTGTTAGTTTCCTTGCAGTTGCAGTTCGCATGACTCATTCTGGGCAATTCATTGCAATTTAAGCGAATTTTTAAGCTAGCCGTGGTTTGTTCTGCACTCCTCTGGTACGCAGTTAGCTTGAATTAGCGCGAGGATCTTCAGACTCCATTATTCGGTAAGCCAATCATAGCTAGCGAACGCGTAAAGACTGGGTACAAAAAGAATGAAAACCACTAAAACTCTCTCTCTGCGGCTGTTGTTTATTGTCAGTAAAACCCCAGGATCCAGGGGTGAGGTTGTTGGCGCGCTGGTGAGGTAACCCGCTTGTTCATATTTCATCTTGATCAAGTTTACGTGATAGGTGGGGTGACCCGCTCCGCTCCTGCTTCCCGGACCCCGTTTTCTGCTTTTTCCCTTCCACGCAGTCCCCTTCCACCCAGTCACCCTTAACTGAAAACGGGCAAATACCCTCCAAGTTTTCACAACACTCGCTCCTGAATGACAATGGTAACGTTTCATTGTCTTAGTGTGACAAACGTGTGACTATCCCAAGATCGATCCTAACACGTTCTTTCACCAAAGCGAGGCCAAAGAGTCGGCAAATCTTTCCCCCGAGAACGAAGGAAGCATCGATACGGTGTGGTTTGAGGCTTGCCCAGGTACGATGGATTTTAAACACTTATTTATCCATGTGCTGTATAGATACGAGGAGAAATGCCAATTATCTACATTAATTTAGCCGAAGTCAACAACGTAGTAACAGTGCACAGCATAGTAGTAGGTCGTTTTTTTGTTTGGGAATGTGCAAATTCTCAAGTTCAACACGGGCCTTCAGAAAACACAAAACAAAAAACGCATAGGATTTCTTGATATTCTAAAACAAAATCATAGTAACTAATGAAATCTATCGTTTTCGCAATTGTTTTCTTTATTCAAGAGAGCAGTCCATCTTTACGTACTTAAGAGCTGTATGCGTTTTAAAGATCAATGAAATAAATAGGGGCTGTGTGGTAATCTTGCCTGTATCTTTTACAGGCTCGAAATTTGAGCGGACTATGCACTTAGATCAGTCATCCTCTATAGAAATTAACCCGTCGGGCACACTTTGTCGCACGAAATGTTTTTCACGCCTGCACTGAAATGGTAAGATCTTACAACAACGGTTGTTGATAGTAGATGTTTTCAAATTTTGTGTTGTATCCATCTCAGCTTCTTGTAAAATCGATTTGTAACGAGCTAAACAAATTCGACTCTCTCTTCATGTGCAATCATGACACGACTTTGATATTTAAATTCATTCGCGAAGGGAAAATGTCTGATCTTTTTTATCTCGTCTTCAAAATTAGTGATAGTTAAGAGGTCAATTCAACGCAGATGGCCTGTTCTCACCATTGAACGACCCCTTTGCAAACAATGTATTATTTAATAACAATTTGACGTTTTTCTTTACGATCTGCTGTGTACATTTTGCTTGATTGAGAATGATTGTTTTGATTGCATAACACCCGCGTTAATTTATTATTGTTCTCTCCTCTTCAATCGTTTGAATTGCGATCCTCCAAACCTGAAAAAATGCCTCTATAATGCAATAATAATATATATGTAGTCGCTTAATATTGCTTCAACGGACTCGTTTCTTTCTTTCTCTTTATTTTTTGAGGGCCTGAAAATCAACTGAATTTGAAATTGTTTGCTGCGGTGATGGCTCATTTTTCTGGTCACGCAATCCTGTACGACGAAAGTTTGTTGTCGTGTTTTTTTTGAGACAGAAAAACATCGACCTAAAATGTAACGTGTGAGATGAATCAGATTTGACGTACAAATGATTGGTGATCAATTCGATCGCACTTTAATGCTGCTATGATACCGAAAAAGGAAACAAAGGCGCAAGTGCACTAAAGCGAAACTGCTCAGTCAGGATCATGATTAGGTTGTGAATCGTCTCAGTTGAGGCAATGAATCCGAAATTAAGTTTTCTTTCCCTTGTCTGAGTGGTTTTATGGGTCATTTTATTGGATCGCATTCTACCAAAAGCTTCAAATGTTAGAGGAGGGGCTTGATCAATTTTACCATCAATTTCGCCTAATTGATTAAAGTGGCACAATTCCCATGCCTTGGATGAGTCATGCGGATTGAAGCCGGACAAGTTAAGGAGGCTAGCTGTCAGCAAGTGTGATGAGCGACCTTTGTTCGATTGCAGTAAGAGACAAAATGTTTTCGCTTTTTTTTTCGTTTGTTTCCAGCAGCACTTTTAATAAGTTAATCAACAGTTTTTCAACATTGTAAGAATAAAAAAAACAGACTGTCAAAAGAATAAATAAGCGAGTAAACGCACAAACACACGAGCGAACAAAGAAACGAACGAGAGAAAGAGCGAACAACCAAAAAAACCAACAAACGAAATAACAAGCAACTGTCTAATGAACAAACGAATTAAAGGGGGAACGAACGAATGAAAGAGGGAATGAAAAAATGAAAAAAAGAATTGAAAAATTAACAAAAAAAAGAGAAACAAATGAAATAACTAGATACCGAATGAAACAACGCCGGAACGAACAAATGAAAGAACGAACAAACAAAGAAAGGAATAAACGAAAAAAGTGGATGAATGAACCGACGGGCGGGCCGGAGAACCAGAGGAAAGTGAGAGTTCGTCAACCACTCAGTCAGTCAGACTGAAAGACTGGAAGACATAAAGATGAACGTTCTCCATTTACTTAGTTTTCTTATGAGAAATTCTTACATCATGGATTTCTCTTTATCAGATCTCAATGATTCATCATGGCTAAAATATTGAGAGGCCGGTTACAGCCATTAATGAGAGAAGCACTGGCTGAGTTCATGGCAACATTTATCTTAGTGGTTAGTATTGGTAGTATCAACGTTATTTGTATATTAAATAATTCTATTGATCAATTATACATTTTGCCTTTTACACATTTTCTTTAAGCTTTTAAATATAATTTTTCCTCAATGTTTTATATTTTAATAGAATTTATGTAGTATCATGATATATATTGTAAAGCGCGATTGGATATAAGTGAAAACGAAATCGCGTTATATTATTGTCGTTATTATGTTAAAGTGCAAGTAGGTCGTTTTCCTCTGGAATCAAATTTGTTAGGTTGGTTGGGTTTTTCTGGGCTGTATTGCAAATAAAACACTTTAGACTGATTTTGTTGATCGGGTTGAAACGGTCGATAAAGTACGAGTAAAGACCACTGTCGTTTTCGCGGGCTTAATGCAGTCAAACGCAGGCTTTAGTTGCCAGCCACGTTCCTTGATGTGGACTGTGACAAAATGGTGATTAACTCGTGCCCTTTCAATTAACACGCTAGTGAGGGAAAAAATTCAAAGGGTGCAAATCGGCGAATAAGTAATTGGTAATAACCAACCTGAGGTCGCCCTCAGCAGGTACTGCGTATCAACTCTTTAACCTCCATGAGTAACCAAGACAGTCTATCCTTATAATATGATTTAAACAAGTGATGAGGATAAATAAAGATATAAATTTGGGGATTATTAGTTAGCCCAATACCAAATTCTCCGATTTAATATCATAAAAATTTTATAGCAGACATTAAGGAGAATTACTAAAGAGATCTTGCAAGTGAAAGGATTTAGACCAAAGTTCTTTGCTTGTTTGTTTTGGTTTCATTTGATTACGAATTATGAGAAAATACTACGGTAAATTGTACTTTATTCCTTTGACAATTTTATCCTCTCTAATTTCCTAGTCCTTTGGCCTTGGCTCCGTAGCTCAATTTACTCTGAGTCGCAGTCAACTTGGAACCTTCTTCTCGGTAAATTTCAGCTGGGGAGTTGCAGTCACGATGGGTTGTTACTGGGCTGGGGGAATATCAGGTGAGTATGTTTTCACGGTACAGAACCAATAGTGTTTCCAAAATTATCTTTTAATGTTTTTCCAAATTAATTTAAAGAAGATACGCCGCAGCAATGTTTTAAAGGTTGAAAGAGGGTGGAGGGAATTCATTATGCGAACTAAAGGTAAATGAATACAAATACATCTGCTATTTATTGCATCTTTCCTCGATTAAGGTGCACATATGAATCCCGCTGTGACCCTGGCCCTTGCTGTGGTGCGGCGATTGAAGTGGACCAAAGTTCCTGCATACTGCCTCGCTCAGCTGCTTGGAGCCTTCTTTGCGTCAACTGTTGTTTACGGAATTTACCGTGGTGAGAATAAATTTGTCTTCTTATCATTAACTAGAAGATTTTTAACTATCACGATGCTATCATTATCATTTAAAATATTTACAATGGAAAGCTAGTAGGAGGTACGGTGGCCTGATGTTCAGTGTGCGAGGATCTGGGCTCTGTGTGGTGTTCTTGAGGAATACAGTGAACATTCACAGTGCCTCTTCATACCCAGGGAAGCCCGATCAAATTAATTCTTGGGGGTAGGGTTGCGATGGACTTGCATCCCATCCAGGGACCGTTAGTTGACCTCAAGGGGGAATAGTGATACTTCGCTTCATGCTAGGGAAACCGGGATAAGATCCAGTTGAATGGACCAAGTCAATTAGAGAATTTTTAAAATGGAAAGCTAGACGCATTTCCCAAATCGTTAAATGGTGGAAGAAGTGCTTGAAAAAGAAGCCTGTTACTTTCGAGCGTCTTACAAGCGATCGTGGACACGCACGAGATGAACGCAAATCACGAGTCATGCTTCTCTTCTCGCGCGTGATTCGCACTTTGTGCTCACATCACGGTTATCTCCACTGGCCTGAAAAACGCAAAAACATGGCGCCTGTTTGCTTGCTGTAGAAAAGTAACTTTGTTGAGCTCATGCGACTTTATGAAAGGTTTTTAGTTTGGGTGATCATAAGTCGCAGGTATCACTCGAGTCCAGAATCATGAAAAGCATATGCGTTCATGTAATTTTCTTTGAAATTGGAATATCCGTCTGGTAATAATTTTTGTACACTCATTTGGTGCTGGGAAAAGAAAATTTTTTGTCATTATTTTTTTTTTCTGCGCATGAAACCAGATGCTCTAGACGCATTCGACGGTGGTATTCGTCAAGTGACAGGCCCCAACGCTACCGCAGGGGTCTTTGCAACGTATCCAAAGCCTTTCGTGACGACTGCAAATGGATTTGCTGACCAGGTAACAATTTGTTCTCTTAAGTATCAGCTCTTTATTTTACAAACAGACTTCAAATTAATCCCTTCTGCCTTTTACAAATGGATTCCTTGTTGCCGTACACATGATATATATATATAGAGAGAGAGAGATCGATAGATTGATCGATTTTTGAAAATGCCGAATAAGCCGAATTATACACGCGTGATTGTCAATTATGATCCACTGGAGGACAGACGCATAGATATAAATCTGCTCATTTATCCTATGAATCAAGTAGATTCTAGTGGCGGATCCAGACATT